TTAGCTGGAGCTGTACAGCAGTGATTTATTTTGGTTATATATATATAATAATGATATTATGTCAGGTTACATTTTTCTATTCTTTTTGATAAAACATATATTTTCTTATTTTAGCGCCTCGATTTACTCGGGCATGCACTTTTCTTTATGTCTTTCAGCTAAGGCATTTTAGAGGTCTAGCAGTTTAAAAGGACCTTTTGCCTCTGACTGCCTTCCATCACATGTCATGTGAGGTGGAATATTCATTAATGACGTGTTTCAGTTTTTGTCAGCAGATATATTTATCTTATTTGCTTGGAGTGTCTAACGAATAACAGGACAAAGGTTAAGTGAAAGGGAATGTTTGGTACAAAAAGCATTCTTTTAGAATAGGAATGGACTGAAATTTGTGGGGAACAAAAAAGGAGGCTTTGATGAATATTAAGGGACAAATTTATCTTTTGTACAGAAAATAGCCATTGATGAATATTAAGGGACAAAGTTATCTTTTGTATAGAAAATAGCCATTGAGCTTTTAGAATACATGCTTTACTTTTCTACCCATATCTTTCATGGCCTCAGATGTATTCTACCCACGGGCCAAGACTTGAAAGAGTCGGAACAAGACTTTAAGGTGGCTATGTAATTGTTACTTATTGGTGTAGAAGCATGCCATATGACTAATTTGCATGTCTTTCTGTTGTGAAAATTTCAGGCTGCCAGGTTCTGCTTAACCTCTCGACCAAGCCCCTCCTCCAGCTGCATTGCCATTTCCTTTCAGCCAGCCTAGTTGTGCAGAGGCGCAGTAACATTGTAACCATGAAGGAATTTGTGTGATAGTGGCTCATTTTAGAAGTCTGTTAAAATGAAATGGACAAGTTATTACTTATTAGGGAACCCAATGGATGTTATGTGTATAATTTTAACCTTCAGGTTTCCAGACCTTTGCTGCTGAATTTTGAGCTGTTCAACGCCCTTATTTGTTCCCATGTAATTTTTTCCCCTTCTTTCACTGTCCATAATGCAATCAGCTTAAAACCTTTTTCAAGAAATATTATAAAGTTAAGGGCAAATTTGTCTCAACATTTTCTCTCGGTGCATCCAATATCCTCAGCTTTTTGTTAGAGCAATATTACACTTCATCTTTCAAAAATTGTAATTTTACCCCAACATTAACTTATACCAACGTTGACTATTAAATTAATTTCTTTTGACCAAAAGCAACCCACTTGGCAAGCTGAGGTTGATCCTCTCTCTTCTCTTGGCTCCTTCTTCCACCATCCTCTCCTCTCCTCTCCGTCTCTCTCTCTCTCTCTCTCTCTATATATATATATATATATATATAAAGTAATATGTATCTATCCTTGTTGTCCCTTACATCCTTGTCTTCTTCCTCATACCCAAATGAGCTCCTCCTTCCTCTCTTATTCTACATCTTATACTCCAACCTCTTGTCTAAGTACAATGCATACATCCTTACGAACTCCGAGAATTCCATCGAGTTGGCGAAGATCTCTTGCTCATAGGCAGGATCTCTCTAATGCTCTTCTTGTTCAACGGGAGTCTCGTTGTGCTTGGTTGCCTTGACAATGGTGACGTCCAGGTTGGTGATGGAGGTAGTGCTTTCGAGCTTGGCTAAGCCAATACTTGTTTGATCCTTCACGAGCCCTTCATGCTCTTGCTTCCCTCTCTTCCATCGGTATACACACCGCTCTCTGCTCTGTTTTCAATAAGCACTCTGCATCCTTGCTCCCTCTTTTCAGTTCCTCCCTTCCTTTATCTCTCATTAATTTTATTGATTTTTCCTTGAAAACTGCATTATTAATTGCCATGGAGCCTCCACATGCGAGTAAGTTTCTCTATGAAATGTTTTGTGTGGTTGCTTCTCTTTGGTGTCTTCTTCATGCTCCTAAGATTTGCTTACATCAACACCGTCACTGGCAAGTCTTGCAATGTTAGTGCCTTCTATTTCTTTTCAACCTCAAACTCAAGGAGTGTCAATATCTTGGTCTCTAACTTCAGTTACAGAGCCCTCCATGCTCGAGCTGCTTCATCCAACTATGTTTCTCGTCGTCCTAGCTGTTGTCAGTTCACATCCTTGAGTTAAACTCATCTTGCTACATGGTGTCTGTTGGCCAATGAAAATAATTTAACTGTTTTTGAAATATTGTGGGCAATATTGCTCCAACAAAAAGTCTAAAATACCAACCACACTTTGAGAAAAAGCTCCAAGGCAAATTTGCCCATTAACCCAAAATTATGAGTATTGTGGCTTGATAGTATAAAATTACTGATTGTCATTTGTCATGTTGTGTCAGGCGACTATTATAATATGTGTCAAGTGAGTGTTACGTTAAGTATTTGAGTGCCAAAAAAAGAAAATCACATAAACATGCAATATCACTAAACTGCTCTAGATTTATGCATCGCAAATTACATTCTCATCCAAATTGGCTCTAGTTTTGTTTTTCCTGTGCATCTCATCTTTTGTAACTGCTAATTGTTGGTACGTTATCAGAATGAAATTGAGAAATAGAAAAATAGAGGATAAATCACTTTCCTCTTGGTAATAAACTGTAGTTTTTTTTCGTAAAAAATAGTTTTTTTAATTATAATAATATGCACGCACGGTCATGAAATCATTGTAATTAACCTCAAAATATTATAAGAATAATACTCAATTTCTAATTAAAAATGATTTTTTCTTCAAAAATTTTAATTGATTGAGGCTTTTGCGCATATAACCCATATCATAAGATCGAACCAAAAAAAAAAACCTCTCCTTTCTTAAATTTTAAAAATAGCCTTTTTAGTGTTTAGTTTAATTTATAAAACTGTCCTTTTAAAATTATAACACCCTACATTTTGCAAATATCATAAGAGATTCAAAATGTAAAAAATCAAGCGAATGAGAGAGACAAATGTGAGCTATAGTCATGATGGCAGAAACAACTCGAAGGTGGAAGAAAGCAGAGCAATGTGAGCAAGCTACAATCACAATGGTAAGAAACAAATGTGAGGCAAGAGATATTGATGGTACTTAATGGAGAGAAGCATGCCAGCGGGTAAACGAAACTCCAAATTCATTATTTATTATTTTATTAGTTTAAATATTTGATTCTCTGTAATAAGTTAAAAGTTCAAAATTTTTTACGGAGTATGTTTGATTCGTTAAAGGTAAATAATTATGTATTTTTTATGTTATTAATTTGTGATATTATATTATTAATATATGGCTGTATATCGATGATAATAAGAGTCTTGAAATATATCTTTGGTGCTTTGTAAGTGACCGCCCACGTCGTTGGCTTGATCATTTAGCATGGGCTAAGTACTGGTACAACACTTCCCACCATTCTGCTATATAAATGACCCCTTTTCAAGCTGTTTATGGTAGGCCACCACCACCCCTGCTTCGCCACTCTTTAACAAAGGACACTTCACCTGACTTGCATCAACTGATGATAGAACGTGATGCGATCTTATAGGATCTTAAGCACCATTTAACTCACACTCAAGCTCGTATGAAGCGATTTGCTGATGCTAAACGATGTGAGGTTCAATACGAAGTGGGTTTGTGTTTGTGAAGTTATAGTCGTATCATCAACATTCAGTTCAGCTGCGTCGTTTTCAAAAGCTTGCTATGCGTTACTCTGGTCCTTTCAAAATACTAGCTAAGATTGGCTCATTTGCGTATCAGTTAGACCTACCTGCCAATGCTTGGAATCACTCTATTTTTCATGTTTCCCTCCTCAAAAAATGTCATGGCGATGGCACAGCAGCGACGATCCCATTACACTTGCTAAAGGTCCAATTATCCAGCCTTTGGAGGTTGAAGCAGTGCGTTGGGTAGCCTTGGGTGATCAGCTACTTGCCCAAGCTCTCATTCGTTGGGATGACGTCACCCCTGCATCCTAGGAATACGTTGATGAGTTGGCTTGACTCTATCCAAGCTTTGACCTTATGGGCAAGGTCAATTTCATGGGAGGTGGTAATGTTATGGCCCCAAAGGATCCATCAGTGGATAAGGCTCAAGTGGAGGGTTTAAGTGATATCAGTCCAAAAGAGACGAACCATCCAATAGAGGTTGGGCTCAGGAAGAGTAAGAGAATTAAGAGGCCAACTTGGAAGTTGAGGGCCCCGGATGGTGAGGTTTAATAGTGAGTAGCTAAGTAGGGAGAGGTCATGCTGATTATAATTGGAAACTTTTCCCCTCTGGCGAATTCTCTCTCTTGTCTGATAGATTTGTTCTGCAAATCTGATTTCCCTTTCTGTTACGCATTACGCGATACCGTCTTGTACTGAGATTGCAATCATGATGGTAATAATACATAGCTTCTCGTTAATCTCATCATTTCATGCGTTCATTCCTGTATTTCTTGTTTTAGCGTGACAGCAATCAAATAAAACAATACAAAACCCATACATGCCAATCAGTGTCACGTAAACTTGATCATTAAAACTAGTCTAGAGACAGCTGCACAGAATGTATAGCGTTTGATAATAAATTTAAGGTCCAAGTCCACGTGCTTCGTATTAGAAATCCAAACGAAGCAAGTAAGAAGCCACACAAGTTTTCATAATCAAAAAGTGAGACTTGAACCACAAATGGGAATCAAAAGAGACACTACATGGGTTTTGCGAATGATACGGCGACCCTTTTGCTGTCTTTATCGATCTTCTTTTCTGCTTCTTCTTCACTACTCCCTGCCGGCTAACAATCCCAAGAACAACCTCCATAATCCCAAGAACAACCTCCATTATTTAATGATTCTGCAACTTAAAGGCCCACTCTAGTATTTTACTATTAGATTTTGATTTCTTCTTCCCATTTCTTTATTGTATTTCTTCCATACACTTGAGTTTTTTTAGTTGTCTCATTCTCATCTTCCTTATTAAAAAAAAAAATATCATTGAGTTGAACTCTTGAGCATCTACATATAGCCTGCTTTACCAGCTCTCTGTCATGCATACATATTCAAACCCTCTTGAAGCTTCTGGTTTGAATTCTGTTCCTCACAATGGTTCTTGAGTACCACAAATCTGTGCTCGAGGAAGAAGATGGGTTCAGCAACGATTCTGCCACAACCCATCCTCCTCCTCCTCTGAGTGGGACTGGAAGTGTGTTGGTTTATAAGGCCATAAGCTATCATCCTGAGGAAGCACTGTCTCTGATCAACTTCAAAGCCAATAATGGTGGGTATAACACTGTCGTGAATGGTGGTGAATCTTTGCTTAGCTTTCAGCAGAAAGAGTACTATGTGTGGGAGAATAATAATGGTTTGCACCAGTGGAATCAGATTAGTAGCCCCAGGGCCACCACTTCAGACCAAAGAATGATTCAGGATTTTAATTGCATTCAAACTGTTATTGGCTCTGGAGGCCTCCATAGCAAAGAATAACAATGGTGCAAAAGAGAAGCAGCAGCAAGGTGAGAGTTCATATGGGTGGCTCTACTCTGAACCAAATGTTCCTTCTGATAACAGCCTTCAGGATTCTTCGGGAGCAAAAGCAGCATCTTTCCATAAGCGCCTTTCAATGGTATTTTCTTCCCAAAAAAAAAAAAAAACCAAAAAATTTCTGTGTATATTACGGATCATCAATTTTGAGATCAACTTTTTTGTGTTTGTGCAGGGAGAGAGCATGCAGGCCTCGAAGAAGCAATGCACTGCTAGTAATGCTGCAAATAAACCAATAAACCAACAAAGTCAAACTCATCTAAGGATCCTCATAGTATTGCAGCCGAGGTTTGATTCTATTCTAAGCCAAATTAATTATGTTTCATCTGTACGTACCTACATACCATGGTTTGTTGATTACAGATTAAGCAAAGTTAAGATATGTTTCGTTCATGGAAGGTAGAATGTTTGTCTCGCAGAATAGAAGAGAGAGGATAAGCGAGAGACTCAAGATGCTACAAGAACTAGTTCGTAATGGCTCCAAGGTTGGTTTTGAATTATGAAGAAGGATCCTGCTGAGATATTTTTTGCAGAACTACTGGGAACGATGCATTGATTGTAGTAACGATGAACAATATTTCAGGTTGATTTGGCGACTATGTTGGAGAAAGCCATTAGTTATGTGAAGTTTCTTCAACTGCAAGTGAAGGTGAGAGTTAAACACTAATCTCTCTTTCATCTTCTTTTGCTCAATTTTGCAGTACTTTCTTGAAAATAATTTAATTTTTGGTTAGATTCAAAATCTCCAAGTGATATTGATCCGATAATTCTCTGCCGATGGAGCAGGAACTGGCAACCGATGAATTTTGGCCAGTCCAAGGAGGAAAAGCACCTGATATTTCTCAAGTAAAAGAAGCCATTGATGCCATTCTTTTACCCCAGAGAGACAGAAACTCAACCTCAATGCATCAGAATTGATCAAGATCATAATAATTAATCCAATTCTGACTCAGAAAATTAAAATCTTTCTCAAGAGAAGTTGGTCGTTCTGCAGGGCATTTTAGGAATTCCGAATGAGCGGCCTTTTCCTAATACTGTATTATTACTTAACTTGTCTAAATATTAAGTTGTAAGCAGAGTGAAAAAATTGAAGTTCAAGCATTTTCCTAGCAGTGTGCATGTACTGGGTCTGCAACTTACATATCCCAGTTTTATTGTTCACAAAGTATCAATACATATCTACTTTGTCTTTCCTCTCTCTGATTAACAACTTACACACACACTTGCATGCACGGTTATTCTGATATAAATAAGTATCAAACTGATCATAATGAAATGCTGATACAAATTAATGCTACATTTTTGTATCAAGCTGTCAATAAGAAATTTCATCTGTGAAGGTGTGTCAAGCTGTTATATATATATATATATCCATGGCACATATGCACTATCATGTCTATTAAATAGAAACTGATATATGTAAAAGTCATTCCTTGTGAAAAGTTCAAAGGGTTTTTACTGGACTATCGTGAAAAGGAAAACGATCGAATAAAACTGTAGTTAGGATTATATTTTGTTTGAAGTTAATTAATAGTGAAAAAGAACCACTCCTTATAATAGTGTGTCTAACATATATAGCTGGTGTGTGTGTGTGTGTGTGAGATTCTAATGTGTAATTAATTAAGCTTGACTTTAATTGCCAGAGACCAAGAGCTTTCATGCATGTCAGACTCAGGGAGAGCTAGCGAGATGGAAGAGAATATATTTTATTGGTTAAAATTTTACAGGGATCAACTATCAATTAACAATTAATTAATTATTAGTACGGTTTGACTTTTGACTCCGACACATCACAAACGAAAATAAGTATACGTGTTAACAAATTAACACAGTTTGATTTCAAAACAGACTAACTTCATGACCCCAAAACACACTCAAAATTTCGTTCATATTTTGGTTCGCTTTTTCTTGAAGAAGCGTTGGAAGTATGAAAGATTAATCATGCATGCATCACAATTTCTCTTATCTCATTCAAAGTACTGATATATCCAAAGATAAATTCTTGCATGCTCTCTTTTGCAGTGAGGGTAAGAGCTTCCTTAGAGCCACTACCCAAGATTTGTTTCGCTTCCGTTCTCTAGCAAAGTCCCATGTATATCTTCCAAGAACAATTTTCAAAATTAAAATTACAATAGAATGACTTGATAGATATGAGGATCATATACAAACATTCATCATCTAAAAGTGCCGGGGGGATTAAAATACATTGCAAGGTTCCATCAGTAAGAAAATGGGTTTTCATCACCACATACACATGCATCAGAAGACAAGGAAATTGGTATTCCACACGGCCCATAAAATCAGCTATTGTGGTAAGACTTTCTGGCCCCTACAAAGTTTAAAAAAAATAAATGTAAGCAGACATACCATATATACGAACATATATTATTTATAATTCATACCTGGCGAAGCAAACCCCACTTGGGATGGGTGCGCTATCACGTTCCGAATTAGTCTAATCAGATCTTTCAGTCGTGTATAATTAAAAGAACAGATCACTTGATTTCTATGGTTGAGCGTAACGTGTGAGATGAGCCCAGAATGTATCAAGTTCACCTTGCGCTTCCATGACGCCCCACGAATAATTGATGCAGCCTTTGTCTCCAAATCCAGAAGACAATTTGCATGATAACGTCCTCCATGTAAGTATTCACTTACATGTGAATAAAAGTCTGGCTTTCTAATTGCATCCCAAAAAAAATGGATGGGCAACTACCTCCGTTATTAATATCCTACAAATTAAAAAAAATAATTTTTTATTTAATAAAAATTCATATATAAATAGATAAATCTATAAATTCAAAAATTAAATTTCATAAAAACAAATTTCATACCGATGGTTAGGGTCTTGATGTGTCATTCTCTTCACCAAATCGTTGAGCACATCATCGGCATATTGGACATGTTGATGGTGGAAGACATTTAGAAGACGACAATTTTCATCATCATGACCAAATGGACAATCAAATGGATGATTGTAACCATAATATAGTTCAATCATACATCCAAAGTTATGTATATCAATTTAACTTTCATGATCGATTTGGAGATCATAGGCCAACTGTTCAGGAGTAGGCCAATAATTTTTCTCAACATCGTCCAACTCTAAATAAATTAATAATTAAAAAAAATTAAATTATTAATATGAAAAATAATATAAATTGAAATAAATCCTGAATAATGCATTTTCACTGGCTAGACTAGAGTTGGCTAACTAGAGTTGAGTACTTTCTTATATCAACAATTGCCTCATTAGATTTAGCAAAAACTAAACCAAGCTAGGTCAAAATCAAAATATACAGAAAACAAAATAAAAATAAAAACAATATCCAAATACACGTTGCCCAAATGCACACAACCTAAATGCACCAACGCCAAGATGCATACTATCCAAATGCACACTAGTAGACTATACTTGAACAATATTAGACCAAATGCAATGCAGATGAGTAGATTGCACTCAGTATGGAACATAGGACTCCAACCACCTAGGCCAAATCATGTCTAATAAGTTATTGCGAGGCTGATTTCTGTTATGCCTCTTATTTCTTTTGCACGTCATGATGCTATGATCTGGAGGGGTAACATAATTGGATCTTTCTCCATTAAAAATGCCTACTTCATGCTAGAAAAGGTTCCCCCACAATCCTACAGCCCAGTCTACAAGGCAATTTGGAAATGGAGAGGACTGGAGAGGATTTTAATATGGCTTACATTCCGTGATAGACTGCAAACAACGTTCGGAGAAGCATATGGGGTGAACAATTAGTCCATATTTACAACTCAACTCAACTCAACATATTTTAGGCACAGTGAGGCTTGGGAATCCATTCCCCTGTCTTCGTGTAATTTTTATGTAATCAAGGCTTAGCCCTTCTTTCCTACCAAAAAAAAGGAAATAAAAAAAAACTTACAAATCAACTGGTGACTATTAAAACTTTTGGCCCTTCTGAAATTGGCGATCTTTACCCTGAATTGATTGTTTTCCCTCGCTACAATTATGATGTTTCTGGGAGATATATGCCCGTCCACTAAATGTAGACGATGATAAAGGTCATATATCCCTTTCTTAATTTAAAACTAAAAAAAAAATTATAAAAAAAATTAATAAATATATATATATAATAAAGTCAAAATCATTAAACTCATTACCTCAGAATATATATATATATATATAAAGTCAAAATCATTAAACTCATTACCTCAGAAGGTCTCATAGAATTTGGTAATCAACGGAAAGCAAGTCACGCTGGCGCTTTTTAAGGTATCTTTGTAATGTGGGAAAACTAGATGGCAATAATCCAATTCCCACAAAACACAAGTCAGATTTATAAAATTATCGTAGTTTTCGAATTTTGTTAAAATTTGTACAATAGTCTAAGCTGCATCCTATCATTTGCATTTGCCACAGGTATGCTTTATACGCATATGGGCAACTCGGCCATATCTCCTAGTCTTGTTCCATTGTCATATCCAGGGGTAATTTTTTGAAAAATGCAAAGGCCGCTGAGAGGTATAACTCTAAAAAAACGGGTTCCACAAAGGAGGTAGACTCTGGAGAAGAAAAAAAATCAGGAACCAAAATGAAGGTGAAGAGATGAAAGAAGGAGGAATAACAAAAACAAGGCTGACACAAAATGAAGATGAAGAAAAGAAAGAGAAAGAGAAAGAGAAAGAGAAAGAGAAGGAGATGCAAAAACTTACAAGCGAAAAAAAGAGATAAAGGCGGAAGAAACTGGATGCCAAGATTGAAGAATGAAAGAGCAAGACCTCAATGCTTGAAGAGAGAGTTGAGATAGTGAAGATTTAAAGCTTTAGAATTTCACAACCAGTTGAAAATGAAAGGAGGAGAAATAATCACTGTGAACAAGTCGAGAATGAAGATAAAGAAAAGAAAGAGAAAAAAAGGAGATGCAAACACTTACAAGCAAAAAAATGAGATGGCGGTAGAAGAAGAAACTAGATGCCGAGATTGAAGAATGGAAGAGCAAGACCTCAATGCCTGAAGAAAGAGCCGAGACAATGAAGATTTCAAGCTTCAAAAGTTCACAACCAGTTGAGAACGAAAGGAGGAGAAATAACCACTGTGAATAAGCCTGATACCGAGAATGAAGATAAAAAAAAGAAAGAAAAAGAGAAGGAGATGCAGAAACTTACAAGCAAAAAAATGAGATGGCGGTAGAAGAAACTAGATGCCGAGATTGAAGAATGGAAGAGAAAGACCTCAATGCCTGAAGAAAGAGCTGAGACAGTGAAGATTTCAAGCTTCAGAAGTTCACAACCAGTTGAGAACGAAAGGAGGAGAAATAACCACTGTGAATAAGCCTGATACCGAGAATGGAGATAAAGAAAAGAAAGAAAAAGAGAAGGAGATGTAGAAACTTACAGGCAAAAAAATGAGATGGAGGTGGAAGAAACTGGATGCCGAGATTGAATAATGGAAGAGTAAGACCTCAACATCTGAAGAGAGAGCCAAGACAGTGAAGATTTCAAGTTTCAGAAGTTCACAACCAGTTGAGAATGAAAGGAGGAGAAATAATCACTGTGAACAAGCCTGATACTGAGAATGAAGATAAAGAAAAGAAACCAGGAAGAGAAGGAGATGCAGGAGATGCAAAAACTTACAGGCAAAAAAAAATGAAATGGCGGTAGAAGAAACTAGTTACCGAGATTGAAGAATGGAAGAGCAAGACCTCAATGCCTGAAGAGAGAGCCGAAACAGTGAAGATTTCAAGCTTTAGAAGTTCACAACCAGTTGAGAATGAAAGGAGGAGAAATAACCACTGTGAACAAGCCTGATATCGAGAATGAAGATAAATAAAAGAAAGAGAAAGAGAAGGAGATGCAGAAACTTACAGGCAAAAAAATGAGATGGAGGTGGAAGAAACTGGATATCGAGATTGAAGAATGGAAGAGCA